TAATGATGGAATAGATAATTTTCTATTGCGTAAATTATTTAATTGAAGCAATGAAGAATTAGAATAAAATTGATTATGCATTTCTTGATTAATTCCAGCTACTCCAGTTTGTAATAATGGATATGAAATAGGAATAATTATAGGTTGCATAGCTTGAGGATTATTGTTATTTGATAATAGTATTGCATCATTTTGTAATTTAGGTTTATCATTATTATTACGAGTATGTTGGTTATTAAAAATTGGATGAGTGGGTGGTACTTCAATAGAACCAATACCATTTATCTATATATTATAAAAAGTTTAATTAAAGTTTTAAATTTTAATTTAGTTAAAATAAAATACATACAATTTCTTTAGCCCAAATTGAAAGATGCATTGCCGTTAATTTGATATGAAAATTATCTTCAATTAAACATGTATTTGTATGTTTTGTACACCAATATTTTTCTCATAATAAATTTACATATTGACCATGTAATTTTTCAGCTTCGGATAAGCTAGATTCTTTTGGTATAGTTTTTTGCTTTTTTGATTTAATCTTAATTTCATCTGCTGACGAATCTTCACTAATTTCAATAGCCTATATAAAAATATAATAAATGTAAATATTTGTATATAAATTATTAAATTAATAAAGATTAATAAAAAAAGATTTACCTTCTCTTTACGCTTTTTAATTTTTTTTTTCATAGTAACCATAATTATAAGATTTTTTTTCTTTTATTGCTTTATCATTATCTAATATAAATTTTTTAAAATCATTAGAATCTTTTAATTGTATTCCAGCACCAGATGTTTTTTCAAACTTGTATGCAATAAAATAATCATCCATAGGAATTGCATTATTTTCAAGTAAAATAATCAAATAATTATAAACTTCTGATAGAAGATCTTCAATAGAGGATATGTAAATTTCTATAAATTTTGACGGCAATTCTACTTTGTCTACTAATTTCACTGATAAACTAAATGATACTTTTTTAGTTTCCAAACTATTAGATAAATTATCAATAGTTTCATCACTAAAATTATCTAAATCACTATCACTAACATTAGATAACTTGGAAGCTGTATCTAAATCATTTGGTATATTATGTGAAAATTCATAAGATTTGTGATTTTTTGATGATTTTTTTCGTTGAAAACTACTATGACACATTGCACATAATGCAAATTGTAATAAGTAATTAAACTTTGAAT